ACATGCATTTTAGGGCCACCTACTTTGTTAGATAAAGAAACATCTGTATTGACCATGATTACATCTATGTTCATATAAGAAAATACGTCATTTTCCTCAAGGATTTGAAGCATATCAAGCATGTCTAAAAATATACTGTTTTTCTTCCTCTTCCGTCATATTATGACTTTTGCAATGCTGATTGCGATTTGCCTATTGCCTTTGATAGCTCTTGATTTAGGTTAATATGATAGGAATTTTATGAGGTGCTTTTCAAAGATTTTGAGATGAATTCCTAGGGATATCAATCTCTTATTATTTGTGACTACAAAAAAGTAATTGAAGATCAAGTTGTTGCTCTTAGCCTGCATTAGCAGGTACTTTTTATATTTTTGCCTTCTCGGCTTCTTCTGATCTTAGTTTTACTTATGATCGATCTACATTTCATGTAGGGGAAGTCTTGTATAATCCCCATGATCTTGGTAACACTATTGATTATTTTGTTCACTGTAATTTTATTATGTTGTTTGCTGTAATTTTGATCTATTTGAACATGTTTGTTCCATACATAATTAATTTGAATCAATATAATAACTTATTGCTCTGGAAGGCATGTGATTCTGTGCTCATTGGATTTGGACTGCAATGACATTTGATACCCAATCATGTTCACAATCAGTTCCAATGCGTAAATCATTCGATATCAACTATTATTTTGACCCTCATTGATTCTAATGCCTTGTATCTAGATTGGAGGGGCTTGAAAGTATTTTGCGAACTTTCGAACTCTGTTATAACTCTTCCAAGCTTAAGGGGGTTTCAAAAAAAACAAGATAGAGAGAGAGAGATTCTTGATAACAAAGGAAAATCACGTAGGGGCTTAAGTTAAAGGTCATGGCCTCCATTCTCACTAACACTTTCAATTAAATTTACTCTTTTCAAAACGGGTAGGGCCCGTAAGCTCCACTAATCTACCCAAAAACTAATAAGGAAAAATGTATGCTGTGAACATTCATTTTGTTATTTCTACTATGGATGGGTTATTTTAAAAACCAATATTCTTAATTAAGCGAATATCATTATCTCATTGTTAAAAAATTTAATGAACGACAAAAAAAACTTGCTACTTCGCAGATTCTTATTTTCCCAAATAGATTACACAAAAGAAACTGATTTCCTAAGGAATTCTAGGCAAGTTACCAAACCTGGGAAAACGCATCCTAAGAAAACATTGCCTGTTTAAAAATTTTCCAATGAAAATTTTCAAGGGAAAATGTTTTTCCAAAAAACGAATGTGCCCTACACTTTCGACAATTCGCAACTAATATGAATATCATGAAAATACCAGAGACTTTGCATCTTCCAAACAGTCCTTTGTTGACGTATCACAATCAAATGAGTGCTAAGAAAGTTAGGAAACTGGAACCTATGTGGCATTAGTATACTTTTATTTCAAAATCACAATAAATATTTGTTTCGAATTGAGCATTATCATTTTCTGTACTATGAGGCACAAGGTTCAATTCCATGTTTAACATTATGTATATACTCCTAGCCATTAGGTGATTGTGATCTTCTTGTATCAAAAGTAAATAATTTATTTTTTTATAAATTTTTCTCAATTATCTTCTTTTTTTTTGTATTTTTAAAAAGTCAATCTTAATCGTATAATTTAAAGAAAATGATTAGTGAGGAAGAAGTTATTTCAATTTCACCTTTATGAACGTGTTTCTTTTTAACTTGTTTGTGGATGCATCGGGGCACGGTACTCTAAAGGGACCACCTAGATGATTGAGAATCTTGAGATCAATTGAAAAAAGAATGATCCTATTGGACCCTTCCCCACCTATGTGTGTAGGACCCTAAAGGATCACTATTAAATTTGGCACGGATTTATAAAAAAGTCAAATCCCACATTCATCTGATAAATTTTTTAGATATTTGTACCAACTTTAATGGTGATCATTTGGGGTTCTACATACATGGATAGGGGAGGGTCCTATAGGACCATTACTCATATATATATATATATATATATATATATATATATATAGTAGTAGTAGACACTATTACGTTAAGGTAAGTTATAATAAGTAGTACTAACTAATAGTAGTAATACTATATGACTACTAACTAAACTACTACTAACGTAACGTTTAGTTT